TTATAATAATGCTGCTTTCCCTCTTTTATCTGTCCTTTCAGACCGTGTCTGTCCCAGAGGTCAGGTGTTTTCAGACTGCATATCCTCCTGTCCTCCCAGTTGTACTTCTCCACAGCCCCCCGCAGCCATGGGCCAGTGCAGGGACGAGTGTGTTGGAGGATGCGAGTGCCCTCCAGGCCTCTATTTTCACCAGGGAAGGTGTCTGAAAAGAGATGATTGTCCTTGCTTTCATCGCAGACGCACATACCAGTCAGGGGACAAAATACAACAGAGATGCAACACCTGGTGAGGAGGGAGTCTTTTCCTGTCAACTCTTCATCGTTTACCCATTTTGCCCATTTATGTGCAACTTTTTTTGCCTTTACCTTGACAGTTTGTGTAGCTTGGGTCAGTGGCAGTGTACTGGGGAGAAGTGTGCGGCAGAGTGCGCCCTGATGGGCGGTTTACAGGTGACCACTTTCGACAAAAAGAGGTACTCACTGCTGGGAAGCGACTGCTCCTTCATTGCTGTGGAGGTGAGCCATGTGTAGAGAAATGCAATCAAACACATTTGCTTACACTATGAGGCAGATTTGTGCATTGTTACTTTGTTCTTATTCTCTGTGTGTTTTCAGGACTTTGTTGACAGGAAGGTAGTTGTGAGTGTGCGCTGTGGAGAATGTACGGCAGGGGGAGGGGAAGGAGGAGGGGGGTGTCTAAAGGAGATGTCAGTAACAGCTCTCCGGACCACAGTCACCATCACAGACACCGGTATGGTATGAAGGTTTGCTTGATAGATCACAGGAAATCAAATCTAGATGTGTCTAGTAGTTTGTTTCTCTTACTGTTCTCTTTAGGCTCACAACACAGCTTTACCCAGCAATTAATGCTGCTTTAGACCATCGACTGTATACAAAAACAACACCAAAATCACAAACAAGCTTGTGTCCAGTTTGACAACTTTAACTATATACCCATCGATGTCTAGGGATGGGTATTGTTTAGGTTTTATCCAAAACCGGTGCCAAACCGGTACTTTTGAAATGGTGCCGGTGCTTAAACGGTGCTCGAACCGGTGCTCGAACCGGTGCTTAAACAATGGAGAACACAAACTTTGTCCAAAAACCTCTCATGTTCAGCTGTTTTTTTGTAAAAAGATAACAATGTTAGCCTTTTCTGCAGCTATGGGGCATATATGGCATCACTCTTGGCTGGAAGCAGTGCTTAAACAATGGAAAAAACACAAACTTTGTCCAAAAACCTCTCATGTTTAGCTGTTTCCCACTTTTTCTTTGGTCATTTTAGCCTTTTTGGCCAGGGTGAAGGGAGTATCTGCCATCAAACAAGAAGACAGCTGCATGTAGCTATGATGATGTTTGCTAGTTCACCTTACATGCATTAATGTAATAACGTGGTTAGCCTACTCAACGTAAATTACACACGAACAACATTAAGCTACTCACGCAGAGAAGAACGGCTGCTGCATCATCATCCTCATCATTTCTGCTACACTGGCAGGGCTAGGGGCCAGGACTCTCCTCTTCGGGTTTTTGGGGGATGTTGCTAACTCCGGCTCCGATAACAGGCACCACATCCGCAGTAGATGTGCTCGGTCTTTGATAGCAAGCTATCAAATACAATGCATTTCTCTGCTTTAAAAAAAGGTGTTTCATCAGATTCGAGGTGTTACCTCCTTTGTAGTGATGCGCGAATCATGAATGAATCATTCAATAAGTATCACTTTACTGACTCACGAGCCCAACTGACTCACTGACTCATCCCTGTTGCTGTTAGTAAACTAATTCCATTAGTAGAAATATATCTAGCTTATAATTAAAACTGTGTGAAAAAAACAACAGCCAGTTTCTTAACGAAAACATTTCTGCTCTGAACTGGAAGAAAAAACCCTGAGTAGAAGCTCACATCAAGACAATAGCTCCTCAGTTCACAGTTGTGTCGCTCTGCTAACATGCTAACAGCACATTTGAGCTACTCACCCCCTCCCTTCCTGTGCTGAATCGTAGCCTAAGCGAATCACTCAAGGACTCACTCACCCCCTCCCTCCTGGCTCAAAGCTTCTTCTTCTTCGTAGCTCTGCTCTAAAAGAACGTACGTATCTGGGCCCGCCTACTATCCTTGGAAAGGTAAAATGATTGGCTAGAATCCAAAGTGTACAGTATGACATCTCAGGACAAAAAAGCACCGAAATAAAGCACCGAAATGTGTGCTGCTTTTCGGTCTGGTTACTACCGTTTATGTCAGAACCGGTGCCATTATCAATAAGTCAGTTATTTACAAAAAATAATAACATAGTTTTATGTAGTTGTTGCAAACGTATTCACCTGGGGCAAAGGTGCAAGATTGTGGCTATTTGAGGAGCTGCAGTTTTTGGTTCTTTTGCAAGGACTTCTTTTTACAACCTTGCAGGCTGCAGCTTGCGTCATAGTGCAGCATTTTTGTGCAATCAAAGCACAAACAGGTTTTTATAGTAGACACTGTAGAGCGTCTTGGACTTTTAGATTGAATGTGCTGATTGCATTCTGATTGGTTACAGCTGGTATTGTTACCTTCAGGTTCAGTGACACTGAATGGCCAGAAGGAAGCGGTGCCCTTGGTAACAGGGGATCTAGCTGTGCTTAAGGCCTCCTCCTCATTTCTGCTCATCCAGATGTTTGGAGCCCAGATTCTGTGGTACCTAGATGGACCCCTAGCGTTCATCACCTTGCAGCCTGGCTTTGGAAACAAGGTGATCTTCAAACTACTCCTAGTGCTTTCAATATACTGTCCAACTGTAACATGGTTCAGAGGTCCAGTTTAGTGACCCGAGGTAGCTTCTGCAGATTAGCAAATTAGCTGTACAGATGTCACCCTCAAGTTATAACATCATTTAAGTGGGTGTTATATAGAAATGCCCTAACTGTAATGTTGTCACAGAGCCAACCTGCGATCTGCAAAGAAATAAGACACGTTCTATTATGTGGAATCTCAAAGAGAAGCGCGCTAGGGCCTGGTGGTAGGCACTAAACTTACCATAAAACACAATGTTCAAGCAATTCCATAACATGGGATCAATCCTTCTATGTTGGACATGGGTATATATGACAAGGTGCGCGGCCTGTGTGGAACACTGACCTGGAACCAGCGTGACGACTTTACCACCCCAGAAGGAGATGTGGAGAACAGCGTGACATCCTTTGTGGCGAAATTCACAACAGCGCTCTGCACCCTGCCTGGAGGAGCTACACCAGAGGCCTGCTCCACGTACACCCAGAGGCGACAGTATGCAGAGACTGTGTGTGCTGTCCTCCACAGCCCCATCTTTCAGGTCAGTGTGATGGGTACTTCTGTTCATCTCTCACGAGTTTGTTGCCTTCGCTTTTATTCACACCTGCACCTCCATCTCTGATTCTACAGTTGTGTCACGACGTGGTGGAGAGGGAGCCATATTTCCGTCTCTGTCTGTCAGAGGTTTGCAGCTGTGTGCCGCAGGGATCCTGTCACTGCACCGTCCTCACTGCCTATGCCCGACACTGTGCTCAGGAAGGTGTTGTGGTCCAGTGGCGCAACCGCACCTTCTGCAGTAAGCTGGAGGACCGTTGTTTGTGTTGTTTTGAGGCTTTGAGGGAAAAGTTATTACTATTTAGAGACCAAAAGAATGTTTTTTCTGATACAGTGTGTTAAAACCAATGCTCTGCTACGCTATCTCTTCCTTTCTTCCCAGCAATGCAGTGTTCAGGGGGTCAGGTGTACCAGGAGTGCGGTCGCACTTGTGGGAACTCATGCTCAGATTTGAGACACGGCTGGAGCTGTGATGACAGTCGCAGTCAAAGCTTGTGTGTTCCAGGCTGCCAGTGCCCACCAGGGCTTGTGCAGGACCAGCAGGGTCAGTGTGTTCCCATCTCTTTGTGCCCATGCATGCAAGGAGCAGTGATGTATTCACCTGGGGCCGTGGTTCAGAATAACTGCAATACCTGGTATGTAGTCAAGGAGTTTGTCTCACCTTTCTGCCACTACACACTTTGATCATGAAATGCGTTTAGATTGAGAATTTTTAAATCTTTTATGAAATATTAAAGATGCAGATGTACACAAAAAAATAAACACTTCGTAAATGCATCAGAGCTCAGTGGGGAAAAAAATCATACTGGATATCAATACTGGTATGGACTGGTCAGGAACCAGAGGACGAAACATCATTTAATGGAAATGAAGACTACCAACCTGCAGATGGCTAAATTCAAAGACACCCAAAATTCAAAGTGAATAAAAGATGCAGTGGTACTCAGTAGTTTGTATTGCCCCCATTGTGGTGGATGGTGTCCGGGGGATCTCCTCCCTGATCAGGAGCAGGGCATCGCTGAGCTGCTGGACATTCTGAGGTACACTGAGGTCAAACACAATGTCCCACAGATGTTCTGTTGCATTTAGGTCAAGTGAGGTCAGGGCCAGTCAGTGGTGTAAATTCCTTTATCCTCCAGGAACAGCCTGCATACTCTCACCATATGAGGCCGGGCATTGCCGTGCAGCAGGAGACACCCAGGACTGCCTGCACCAGCGCAGGGTCTGACAGTGGGTCCAAGAAGCTCATCCTGATACTTAAACGCTGCCTAGCCTGTAGAGGTCTGCATGTGTTCCCCAAACCATCACTGACCCACCACCAATCTGTTCATGCTGAATGATGTTACAGGCAGCTCTCCACAGATTCTCCAGGCTCTTTCACATCTGTCACATGTGCTCAGGGTGAACCTGCTCTGAAAAGCACAGAGCACCAGTGGTAGCCCTGTCATTCCTGCTAGTTGGCAACTGACAATGCCAAATATCAAACTGGGCCCCACGATAGCTACGATAGGCTCCAGCACCCCCCGTGACCCAGAGAAGGATAAGCGGAAGCGAATGGATGGATGGATCATCCCGAGGGAAATTGGGTTAAGGCTGCCAGCCTTGCCAGTGCCATCTTACCCTTCCGACCATACAGGAAGACAGGTCAGAGAGGTATAACAATGGAAAATGCACAACATGAGGAAAGACCCCCCCAGACTGAGCTCCAAAAGAGAGATCAGTTTGAGAACAGAAAAAAACACCTCAGCACATAAATCATCAGATCTCACAACATAGAAGACATGAGCTTCGAAGGCGTTTGGAGGGGCTGGGGGGTGAGTGTAGGTCTGTGTCAGTGCACGTGACTGTGTGTGTGTGTGTTCCATGTTCAACTGAGAGAAAGTTTCCATTCACCCGGTTAAGCAAAAGTCAACAATTTTCGATCGATGCGGGCGGCCTTGAATGAGGGGAAAGAGTCACAACACAGTTTTGTTATCTAAGGGAGAATTTTTGTTGAAAAGCAATTTGTGTTGAATCTCCTCCAAGCTCTTGAGAGTGTGCTGGGAGACACAGCAATGACACATATTGATGTACCACCCTGGTTGAGTTGGACTACCTGTCCTCCACCATAAAAGCCTCCTGTTTGGGGAATCTCATTGTTGCTTCTCTAATGCAGTTAATTTCATTATAACCCCAAAACTGATCAACAGCCCCTCTGCTACTTAACTGACCA